TGGATCTGATGACGATTTAGATGATGAACAAGAAAATGATGGATTGGAAGAAAGCGAGCTGGATGAAAGTGAATCTGAAGGTAATTCAGAAAAATAATTTCAATCACTCTTAAATATGTATATATAGTTTTGTTTCAAGAGGCATATTAACATGAACCGTTTGAATTAGTTGGATATTTTGATAGAACACGTGAGCCAGTAGGAAATCAAGTGTCAAATGGTTCGTCATCATCACTGTCGCAAAGTCAAAATTCTGGTGAGGTCGAAGATGAATTATTTGATGATGATGAACAACATGATCTTTTCGATCCACCAAATGATGATGATAATGAATCCTATGAAGAATCAGATGATGAAATTGATTGGCATCTAGAGTTCTACATTGATGACCAGCGTATAAATTTTGATTCTACGTTATTTGAGGTTATTTATCGGCATTTGCTACGAACCAACGTCGAACAATCAAAAGAAAAATTTTGGAATAACGATGATGAATATATAATTAAATTTAAAAAAATAGTATCTGCTTTTCCACCATTCCCAGATCACTATGTTCCTATCAAATTAGGGACTGGGAATGATGCCTATGTAGAGCTTGTCACGAGATTTATGGCAATCCTTCATTCTATTTACTCAGATGCTGTTTCAGTCGATAAATATGATCCTAGTCCGTTCGTGTCACAAGAGCTAGAAACACATATAGATATCGTTGTAAACCCGGTATCTATTTTGACGCGAGTTTTTCCTGACGCGTTTCTCAAGATTTGTTCTGAGGTTCCGTTCTTACTTAACCCAATGAAACGTCATGAGTTCTTTATCGGTAAAACTTTTGGTCTACTTTATCCCGAAAGATTTGGAATAGACATTAATAATGCTCGTAAGGTGTTAAATTTGATTCGTCAAGTTCTTCCTGGACCTATGCAGGCTACACCATCTATATCTATGGACAATTTGTTTGGGTGGGTTCGTCAACATTTTGAAAAATATGCAGTTACAGGGTCAAGGCTCAGTGTTCAATTTGAAGGAGTTGGTGGGATTGGAGATGGTGTGGCTCGTGAATTTTTTTCAAAATTATCACTTGAATTTTCACAAATTTGTCGGAAAATGTGGGTTCATGATGTAAAGTACAAAAAGCCATACAAACAAAATGACCCTATTGATAATGATAATGGATTATATCCTGCACTAATGGATGATCAAATTGATGAAAAAATGGATGGAGAATCGAAAGAAGGAATTGAAACAGTGGATGAGTCAAATGAAGTAACTAAGAAAGAAAATTTAAAGAATGAAGAATTGAATATCTTGGAAAACTTTAAACTTCTTGGCCAATATGTTGCGAAGGTTATATATGATGATCGAATGATTATATTAAGATTGAACAGGACTTTCATCGATATTTTGTTACACCCAGAACATTTGTTACGAAAACTTCCACAGGGAATTGATCTAAGTGAGAAAGACTGCTTGAAAATTATTGAGCTGATCGAGTCAGTATATCCATCATTTGGATCTAACCTACGGAAAATACTTAATAATAATGACCTTGACGAAACG